ACTGGGAATCATCCTTTCACTGTTTCTTTAGTGGGTGCAGTTGTCCCTTGAAGATTTCTGGGGTGTTTTTCTTGTTTCCCTAAAGTTTGTTTGTTTTTCTTGCTTTTGGAGGAGGGATCCTGTTGTCCTAAGCGTTCTCACTGCAGTATTCTCTGGAGATTAAGGATTGAACGTCTCAGTGGGACGTCGCTGTGCCGTTTAATTACAAACACCCAATTCTGAAAGCTGTTTCTGCTCAAGTGTTTTCTAATGACTCTCCAAGTATAATTCTTCTGTCGCATTTTTATGATCCTAAAAATAAGCTTCATTTTCTTCATGCAGTATATATGCATTATCATACAATATAGAAATTTCTTATGCTCACAAAAGCGACATTTATTTGATCAAAAATACAGTAAACTTTCTATTGTAATATATTTTAAAATGTCATTTATTCCTGTGATGGCAAAGCTGTATTTTCAGCATCATTACTCCAGTCTTCAGTGTTACATGGTACTTCAAAAATCATTCTGATCATTTGCTGGTCAAGAAACATTTCTTTTTATTATTATCAATGTTAAAAACAGTGGAAACTCTAATCCTTTTCAGGATTATTTTTGTTTTATTTACTTATTTTTTTAATAAATAGAAAGTTTAAAAGCATTTATTTGAAATAAAAATTTTTGAACATCATACCTGATGTCATTACTGTCACTTTTGATCAGTTTAATGAATCCTTGCTTAATGAAAGTAGTAATTTCTTTAAAAAAAAGATCTTACTGACTCTAAACTTTTGAATGGTAGTGTTTATATATTTCATGAAGAAAATGAAGCTTATTTTTAGGATCATTATGATATCATTGAGTTCATTTCCCTCCAAATTCCAATTAACATAATGCAAAAACTCTCATTCCCAGTATTATGTTCTCATATACTGTCATGTGGAAATAACAAAGAAGTATCATTTAAATTCCAAAATTGTAATAATCAGTTACACTTGTGTGTGTATTTTTCTGAAAGCATTATGGTAATAGAAGAGAAAATTTGATGTATTGTCACTACAAAAAAATAAATAAATAAAAATTCCCGCTGACCTTTAAATCGGCTTCATTAAATCAAACGTTTTTTTCCCCTTGTTTTCTGAGGGTTACCCATCTGCACACAATATCAGTAATAAACTGCTGATATCTCACTGATATATCTGAAGACGTGCATATGCATGTTTATTTTTTATTGAAGAAAATAGGTCGGTCTGGCTGATCCAGATAAATGACAACCAGCTCAAATTCTTGCCTCCTTATTTCTACATCTGTCCTCCTCTTCAACAGAGTCTCAGCCTATATCCCTTGTTTTTTCTTTAGACTACTTCAAGGAGCACACAGCAGGCTAGACATGAATTCTTGGGGATCTACACTGATAAAATCAACATGACGCAATGTCTTTTCTATATCTTGAGGGATTTTCAGAGACAGCTTGTTATCCAAATGATGCATGTACATGCTGTCGATGCACGTGTTTCTAAACGCCGATCAGGCTGTCGCGTGCTTGTGCCGTCTGCCCTCTGGAGGTTCAGCATAAAGCGGCCTTGTGTTCTGATTACACCCAAACTCATATTTACACAGTCGGGGGGATTGAATTGTCCCGAGCACATTAATAATGCATATTGATGAATCGGTCTGTTAGTGTGCTCTGGAGTTGCTTTGGGAACAAGCACCAGGACGTCTCTTTCCTACACCCCTCAGTCTTTAACCTTGTCTTCACACAGCCTCTGTTTGTCCTCTGCTGAAGCCACAGCTCCATTGTTAATAGTGAAAGTAATTTTCCTGACAGTGCAAAGATCTATGGGATGACAAGTGTCATGGCCCCCTGATAGATGCATGACATGATGGAGCAGACGTTGGGCAACACGTCAGAGTGAAGTGAGACAACACAGTGACACTCAATAACCATCAGCCATGATTCAAACCACTCGCCACGTATGGCAAGTTTGATCTAACATGTGTTTCACCCCACACTCCACAAATGCTTGTTTGACCCATATCATATGGTTTGAAATGTAAACCTAGTCAGCTACTCAGAGTGGCATTAAATACTGTATATAAATAGTAGATAAAATGGAAAAACATAAGAAATAATAATAATAAAATAGTAATATGGTAAATTGGATTTTGAAATTGTCGGAAAACATGATCATCCTTGCATATTCCAGAACCAAATGGTAACTGTGAGAACTGTTAACCTCTCTGATGTGTAATCATGTTAACATGGCCTGTGTAGATTTTAGAATGGACTGAAATAAATGAAACTTGGATTACAGTGGAACTGCCACCCTGTGGACAGAAATCAATCAGCTGTGTGTGTGTGTCTAAAGCAGATTTATGAACATCAATCTGGGCTTACTTTAATTATGCTCAATCTGTTCAGTAAAGGATTTAGCAGGACTTTTGTGCACAGCTGCCAATATTTTCCACTTTTTCTTTTTTTGGCTGATGATGAGTCTTCCATGTTGTTTAAGTAGTTGTATATTTAAGCCACAGTTTAATAATTTTAAAAATCCACAAAAATTACACAGTGATCTAAAATCTAAAGATATAATTATTTATCTGAAAGATATGAACAGATATTCAGAATTTTTTCCAACTATCAAAAATGGCATTTGCAAGTGTTTTAATAATGCTATTGCAATAAAGATCTTTGACCCTGTCATAGTCACAACATAGATAATATGCAGTTATATGAGCCTCCTGTCCTGATTGTCAAAACAAGCTCAGTTCTGCCCTCTGTTGGTCCAGTTCTTCATGCTACTGTGATGTTTGACACAAAATGCTTGTAATTTATCTTTGAAAAAGAGAAGTATTCGTACATAAATGCAAATAAATCATTCTCCATTTAGAAGAGGTTCATTTTATAGTAAAGTGATTTTTAACCATCAGAATCTGACAAAGCAAATGAGAGCAAAAATAACTTTCATTTGGCTTTATCCTTTTAGCTAACTTTTCTATGTTGTATACAGTTCTATACACAAACAAAACATTCGCACTGGCAACCCCCCTCTCCCGGGTCCGCTCCGCCACACCTCGTTCTCGCTACGAGTGGGTCTCCGGCATGGGAGGCGGACGCACTAACAAGGAGGCTAAATGGCTACAGCCACTAGCGTCAGTCGGCACTGGCAAGCAAAGAACTTTATATTTCGCGTTCTGTCGTCTATTATTCAGTTGGCTCAATATTGGGATCCAGGGGCCTCATTTATAAAATGTGCGTACGCACAGATTTGATCTTAGAGTGTGCGTACACTAAAATCCACGGCAACGTTCATATTTATAAAAACGGTCTTTGACGTGGAAAAGTACTTACCGCCACGGCAGGGTCTGAGCAGACGTACGCATGTTTCCTTGTGGCGAAGTTGGAGTACTGCAGCTATTTGAACATCTAAGCTGCAATAATAAAAGCGGTGTACGTGCAAGCACCGAATTCATCATAAACAACAAAGATGCAGAGTAAGAGATTAATTGTGCAGTGTAGTCAGATTTTTTTATTAACGGGAGGTTTTGCGAGATTAAACTGACCTTTTTAGTAGCCTAATTTTGAGAGCTCTTTACTCGCTTTCTGTACACAGTTTAT